TGGCTAAACCCATCTCAGGCCGGTCCAAGGCCACAAGGACAATGGGCTGAGCAGGGCTCATGCCTGGCAGGCATGGCTGTAGTCGCTGGGCTGCCTGAGTTTTAGCCCTGCAGCTGTACAACAAAAAACAGGCTCCGTCCTTCCCCCTGCAGCACAGCCCTCCTCCTTGGCTCCAGGGGGTACCTTCAGCCCCACAACTCCTTTGGGAGCAATTCACCACTGTGCATGGTTGCCTTCCCCTTCTCAGGGACACACTCCACGCTGCGACAGAGGAGAGAGACATTAATGACTCCATGGTGACACTGATCCTCCACCATTAGCTGCAGTGTGTTCTTCAGGATAACAGCCAGGTAAGACCCATGAAATTACAGTGCTGAACGGAGACCATGGCGCCTGGCTGTTGCTGGGGCTGCCCAGTGGGAACGGGAGGGGGGAGTGGGAGCAGGTCACACCTGCAGAGAGAGCAGGAGACATCCCACCCATGGGATCAGATGGGCAGAAGCAGCTAACAAAGGGACTCTACCAAGCCCAATGAACCCCAAACCAGCAGAAGGGCAGGCAGCGAAGGGCCAGGGTCTGGTAAGGTGCTCCTCTGCATCACACTGCCCACAGGCTCTGCCAGTGGTATCGAAAGGGACAACAACATCCTCCAGGATGAGTCCGGGGCACCTCTGAATGAAGGAATGGAGGAGACATGGCAGAGCACAGGAACAGCCCACAGGACAGTGCTGTCTGCTTCCAGCAGTGCCGCAGGAAGGTGCCTGAAACATTGAACCCTGTCCAGACCTTCACCACAAGTGTGTCAGTGCCCAGGGAGCACCACAAGTGGCCCTGCCCACCCAGCCATGCCCATCCACCACCCCACAGGTATGCTGTGTGCAGCCACCCTGCATGGGGAGCTCCTCCAACAAGGACACCTTCACACTTCATTACACATCTCTTTCTTCTCAAGGTCCTACACCTGGGTCGGGACAACCCCCAGCACCAGTACAGACTGGGGGAGGGATGGATGGAGGAATGGAGGGATGGAGGGATGGATGGATGGATGGGTGGATGGAGGGATGGAGAGCAGCCCTGCAGAGAAGGACTAGGGAATACTGCTGGGTGACAAATGGGACCTGAG